ACGTGAGGAAATTCTGTCTTTTTCAAAGAGAAAAATTTTTGAGGCGAAATACCCAAAAAGAGGTTTGTAAAAAAATGAATCGGCCTCAACAATATAGAACTTATCTAAGTATTTTATTAGAAAGCAAATGCCAATTATTTAATATTATTATTAATTACATTTTAGGTATGCACATATATTGAAATGGTTAAACATTCGAACAAAGAAAACTTATCTATAACGTTTCAATCATTTTCAAAAAGTTTCATGAACTGAACTCCTGGACAAAATTACCTAACGCATCAAAAAGAGATCGTAAAAAGTTTTCATTATTTTCTCTATATTTTCAAAGTTTTTAAGTTTCAAATCATACAACCTACGTGATATGTTTTAGTTAAATGTTTTCTACTTATTTATGACAAATTATAATGRTGTAATCTGATAAAAAAATGTCAATAAGGTAACAAACCGAAAGAAACAGTAGCGCCAAATGAAACAAAAATCCTTTCATCAAAACGCRTAAAAAATTGAGAAGAAATTAAATGGCAAKAATTTTAATTTAGTAGCGTGTAGTTTCTCCTGTAGATTTTATTACTGTTGGTCTATTGGGAAATAATGCTTTGGCATTCGAAAAGCATCGCTTGCTCGAGTTCCCTACGATTCATAGGAGCAGGTCGATTGTTTAAGTGCATCCCATAGATGCTCTACAGGTCTATATGATTCATATCTGGGCTTCTTGGAGACCTCTCTCTCTTCCAGTCAGCGAAGGTCCAATTTATGTGTGTGTTTCTTAACAAAACGTATATTTCTGGTGAGCAGTGGTGCAATAGCCGCCCTTCTACTGTTCAATCCTCTTAAATTAAGTCTTACCTTGACTGATCGTGTAGGACTTATTACATTACGAGCTCCTGCTACGGCTCTGCTAATTGGCCTTATTAGGACCGCTAGGACACGCTCCCTCATCCCTCATAAAACACGAAAAATCTGAACCGAATTTTGATGTCCAGGTTATCCAACACAGTCCCAGCGCTTCACTGCAGCCCAAACCCCCTTCAACACCCTTAACTCCGATTGCGGCCGTTCATTTGCGCCCTCCCATACCTGCAACTAATCAAAACTCCAGCAACACGACGAATCTAGGCAGCGTAACTATGAAGCCTTCGCGTGAAGAATCAAAACTAGGTCTGTATTATCATGGGTTCAATGCGCTTTGAAGCAACTGAAGAATTTCAGTGAGTAAAACTCTATTGGCCTCAACGGTGATCTCTCCTCCCACAACCAGAGAACGGCCGGTGCTGAGGACGCGCCGTCCTCTTTTGCAGCGCAGCCAGGACTCGACAGAGGATGAGGAACTGTTTTCTGCCCTTTTGAATCTTTCCATCTGCGCGCCCCATTCGGGAGAACCTGCCCACCCGCAAGCTACCACCATTCTCCACGACTTGGGCGTAACCAACAGCATGACCGGTTCGGATATTAGTAGCCTGGCAAATCTGGGTGAGTACAGTACGGGATTTCATGTATGTTCGAAACATTGGTTGAATAATGGGGTTGGTGATATGAAATAGGCACTCCAGATTCGCCTCCGCGCGCCACTTCGCCCACTGTGGAGATGAGAGAGCTGCTGGATAAGATCCAGCAGTTGCCCGTTCAGAAGAGCCCCAACCCGCCCGCAACGTCTGGAAGCACTCATAGCAGGGCCTACTTTCACAGAGTGAGGGCGAAGACCCTGTACATGCCTCTCGGCGACGTCCAGACAGTCAATTCCGGTAATGCCAGTCAAAGCAAAGCCATCCCTTCAGGTAAGTGGGGCGAATCTCAAACCAACACCATTTCAGGGATTTTGTCTACAGTTTTCTCGAAAAGATGGTTGTCGAGGTCGGCGCCGTGCACCCCTTGCGGGCCAATTGCGCCCCCATTTCCTTCCGGCCGGAACAGCCACAGGGGGAGCAAGACGCGCGTCAGTGACGGCAGCCCCCTTTTGAAGCAGCACGCCGAAGAAGCAGACGAAGATTCCCATCGGGATGTGTTCTTATGATCATGAGGAGTCGATTGTTGATCGGGAAGTGCGTCTTCTGCTGGTTGGCGATGGGTGCTTTCTTCAGCGGATTTTTTAGAAATAGCGCAAACTACGCTACAATGTCGAATCGAATTAGGCGCTCAATTTTTTTAGGTCAGTGGCGGCTGCTGATTTTAATCGGAGTTTTAAGCGAATAAAACTTCGAAGGAAACACATTTTTTTCGGAATGAAATTTTTG